AAGTTTAGGACACCTTCCATCCTTGTCAACCCAGTTAGCAATCATTTGATGCACTTATCACCAAGCATCAAGATTGTGAAGCTAAACATAGAGCACGCTGAGCGCCTCTATAGAAGATTCATGGGATCAACTGAATTCTTCCCTCAGGACATGGATAGAATTCTTAAAAACAAGTTAAGCTTGGGCACATGGATAGCGTACTGGCAAGGTGACTCATGCAGCAGGACGTTCGACTTAGACCAATATTTCCCCACTAGTTGGGCAATGTTGAGCGTATGGAATAGTGGACAACTGTTCAAGCTAAGAGTAGCAAAACCATCCCTAGCTTGCAAAATGTATGCTAAAAGCTCGAGCTTTATAGATCGTTTCTTTCCGTGCTTCAAATTTCCATTCATACCTGATATGTTCAAGCCATTCGGATTTTATTTCATGTATGGCTTGTATCACGAAGGTCCAAAATCAGGTTCACTCATGCAGTCTCTCTGCAAGTTGGTACATAACATGGCTATCAAGTGTCAGGATTGTAAACTGGTTGTTACTGAGATTGGAGGCTGTGATGACATGTTACGACATCACATTCCACACCGGAAACTATTATCCTGCCCTGAAGATCTGTGGTGCATAAAAGACTTGAAAAGTGAAGAGAAACTCTTTGATCTGACAAGAACCCTTCATCCAAGAGCCCTTTTCATTGACCCTAGAGAAGTATGATCACATATCCTTATATGGTCCTACCTGCCAAAATGTACTCTAATATGTCCAATTCATCACTTGTTCCTTTCACATCTCTTGCAATATCTATCTCAATAGATTTCCTATTTAAGGTGCCGTCACCGTTCACTTTTTTTTACAAAAATCTATCCTTCCTAAATATTAAGATAAATTAAGAAATGTGGTCCTAGCTTCTTCAAGTCCTGAATCTTGTAGTATACAAGAATTCGACAAATTTCGACTAGGCCCCATTCGTCTGTACTCACTCCAGTAGGTAATGCACTACTAGTTCAAAAATGCAAGCGTTTTGTTGATAAAGCGCACGCGCACGATGGAGTGTTCCAGAGCTAGCTAGCCTATAATTTTAGCTGTGAATTAACGAACATGTGTATTTTCCAGTTTTATTATCGTCTTGGTCAAAAAAAGTAATTCATTAACATATTAGGCAGTGGACAGTGATCGATGATGCATGATATGTAAAATCTGATCAGTTAAAGAGCTGTGAAATCATCAGTCGTATATTTTGTATTCTCATGCACATGTTGCAAACAACTTTACATAGTTTTACAAGTAGTATGTCATCGTCACTGCCATATTTAGATGAACCAGAAGAAGTTAGGCATGTTGTTCGTCTCCAAATTTTTAAGGAAACAACATTAATTCAGAGACTTCTCACAAAACAAATGCAATGTACCTTGCTTTAAGCATGATTATGATGACATTGACAATTAAAAAGACGACAAAACTAACATACAGTGATTAACAGATTGATAGTAAGTATCACTGATGAAAGCCAAACGTCGTTCACCTAATAGTTGTCGGTCTTATTAGCTTGTACCTCTGGATATTGATTGTCTTAATATATATGTACGTATTCTTTGATTACTGCACTGTGTTTAGGTCAATACATACATGCGAAAAACGAGTACTAGTACTCTAGTTTAATTATGTGTACGTTTTTAACAAATGCAATACCTTAAAAGACCGCATTCGCATTCGCATTTCTTCTATTGAAAGTTTGTGTGTAAGCTCCTATACTAATAAAACAACTTCACTTGCAAGTAATAAAGGATCCATGTTAATCTTCTCTGCATTGTCTTTAAGACAGATCAAATTCTCAACTACAAGTCTACTGTACAGTGGGAAATAAGTGTGAAGTCCCTTAGCAAAATAGTCTTTAGATGAGCCTTTGCTTCATAAAGAATAATAGAAACTCTTTAGCCCATCAAAATATGTTGACTCAGTCAATGTATAAGTGTTACCATTACTTGGGTAGAATGATCATGACATGAGTCCCTGCAACAAATTCACTGCTGTGAGGAGGCCGGCAAAATGATGTTAAATTTGCCTCCATCATGCTATCATAATTCATACTAAATAATGATAGTGAACTTCCAATTAGGTACACTGATCTTATATAATAATTAACATTTTAAACCAATTATATATAGTGATGATCCACTCTTATA